AGTTAGAGGTTTGTGCATATTCTGATTCTGATTGGGCTCGTGATCTCACTATCAAGAAGTCTACCACAAATTATTGTATATTTCTTGGCGATTCCTTATTTCTTGGCGGAGTAAAAAACAAGATGTTATTGCTCTTTCTAGTACCGAGACAGAGTATCGTGTAATGTCCACAACAGCTAAAAAGATTATTCATCTTCGTCGTCTTCTCAGTGATTTCGGTAATTCTGTTCCGACTACTACTCCTCTCTATTGTGATAATAAGTGTGTCTCCAGATTGTTAATAATCTAGTATTTCATGAGATGACCAAACATATTAAGATCGACGCTCATTTTGTTTGTCAACAAGTTATCAATGACAAGATAATTCTACTTCCTCATGTCTCATCCGATGACGAGCTTGCAGATTTCTTCACAAATGCCTTACCCGTTCATCGATTCCAGTTTCTTGTACGCAAACTCATTTTATTTGATCCAACATGAGTTTTAGGGGGGTTGTTGATAATATTGTGTTAGTAGTGGGTTTAGTCTCACAGACAAACCTCTATATATATATATATATACACACACACACACACACTCAATATTCAATTCAAGGGGAAATTTATCCAAGACCCTCTCTCTCTTACTTTAACACACCTTTTTGAATTTTTTTTTGGCTTTTAGGAAGGGGAAGATAGGTACCAGCTCAAGTTGAAGGAGGCAACATGGGTTCCTCATTTATTTAGAGTGAGTGTTACTCAAACAGAATATAGGAACGAGAAACGGCAGAGGATAACGGTGAGGTCCCAGTCTCCCGTTGACTACTCAGCTGAATCAAGATATCTACTTGAAGAAATATCAAAGATATCTGTCTCTTAATTATGGGCTTTGATGTAAGAAAAGCCTTCTTCACCTGTTGTTATTGTTCTTTGCCCAAAAGTTGACAGTTTTTTTTTGAAAGTTCGTAATGTTCCTGTTCATGTAATGTATGAAGCTGAAGTTTATTCCAAAATGATACGAGTACCCTGTATTTTTTTTGGAAAATTTGTTATGTTTCTGATGGGAATGTGTTCTCTGTTTTGGAAAAACAAATTGAGATGCGAACCTGAGACAAAAATCAAAAAAAGCTTGTGTACATTTGTGCAGTGAATTCGGAATCCATGGGTAGGTCAAAGTACAAGTATAGGTAAAAAGCTTGTGTACATTTGTGCAGTGAATTCGGAATCCATGGGTAGGTCAAAGTACAAGTATAGGTCATTAGAGAACTAAAAGAATTTGTGCAGTGAATTCGGAATCCATGGGTAGGTCAAAGTACAAGTATAGGTCATTAGAGAACTAAAAGAATATGAAATTTTCATACATTTTTATTTGAGAAAGCTATTGGCCCTTAGTTGCTGGTTAATCTTGAAGCTTCGCATTTTCGTTCAAGGATTGATCGAGTTACTGGTAATTTAGAATGTTTTTTGTTGATTGAAGTAGAGCACCCTAATTTGGGCCATATTAAAGCATGCGTCTTGTATGAATCTGCAACTGGGGAAAATTGAAAATATAATTTTCGCCAGAGCCAAGATGTGCACGCTTTCACATTGATTTCTTAATTCATGGGTAGTTGAAAGTACTAGGTATTATTCAGCTAACTCGTTGTACTTTGGGGCCTGAGATTGATGTGTTGCAGGTATAAATAACATTGTCCAAGAATAGAAAAAAGAAGTTTGGATATGCAAGAAACTAATTATTAAGAGAGGAAGTTAAAGGTTGAAACATTTGATTCGATGTTTGTGATGGTCACAGGTGTCCTGGTCGCTTACAAATTATCCAAGCATGCCTCTCATGGTACAATAACATATCTCAGGGTGCAATCTAAAAATCTTCTAAGTATAATTGCACATGCAAGAAAATTTTTAATGCATTAATCCACTCTTTTTCCTTGTCAAGTTTGTACTACAACTCCTGTGCTGAACAAGGTGAGCTGGAATTATTATTTCTGTGATGTGTCTAATATGTGCAAGGGTAAATAACACTAAGCCCCGAAGAACTTTCAGCGACTTGCAGTAAATTTCCAATAACTTCTAAATCGCACTAATTCTCGAGTAACTATTGGAATTGCTATAAACCCCCAATAAGTGTTCACGTTTTGCAGATAATTGATACCCCGATGACGATGCCAGTTCACATTTTGTGTTGCGAAATATTTAGATCATAAATGTGGATTGACCCTCATCATGGGGATATCTACAAATGTGGAAGCTTATTAGGAATTTTCTGCAATTTCAATAGGTATTGAGATTTTAGTGATATTTTACAAGTTATTGGGGGTTTGTTGCAAAATGCTAAAAGTTCTTGGGGGTTTAGTATAATTTACCCTATACGCAGATGCAACTATGGAAGGAGCTGAATTAATTTTTATTTGATTTGATTTTGTTTCCCGCTCTATTGATCTCAAGTCGCAAACCTGAAACAAGTATAGTATTCTCAATATCTATGCATTTAGCTGAATTAATTAATTTTTTAAATGTGCAAGTGCCATAACATTTATACCAAACCTTGTGCTTTTTCTTCTTGTAGTTCATTATCTATGATTAAACAGAGGAATCAAGTAGATAGCAATCAATATCCAATCTTCCAAATAAGTTATCAGGAAAAGTTTGGTGAGGACAACTGGGGTCCTCCTCTTGCTTGCTACTGCTACCCACATTTGCATTACCATTATGAGAACAGTTCTGAAACGAAGCAAAATTTTCATCCTTTTTCATTTAAGAAAGTCATTGATCCTTGCATATTGGTTTAACTTTAAGCAATTTTGTTCAATCGTTGATCGATATATTGGCCTTTGAACATTTTTGTGGCTTGAAGTAGAGAATCTTTATTTGCTCAAGGGTTAATTGCCAATAGACCCCCTTAGTTTCGTTGTTTCGAACTTACAACGCTCATAGTTTATTGTTGGGAGTAGACCCGGAGTGCGACTTTTTGAATGTTTTACCCTGATGGGTTCTGGTTCTCAAAAATTCAAAAATATTCGCTCAGCGAGTCTATCTCCAACAATAAAACTAGAGAGAGAGAGAGAGGCAGCAAGTTCAAAGCAATGCTATCACGAGGGGTCTATCCGGAATTAACTCTTTTGACGAATACCAAAGTTTATTCCTACTAAAATGTGGTTAACTTTCAATGTAGGAATTGAAAAATCTTGCAATTTGCGGAGGTCAAGGAAAGCTTCTCTACAGTACTGCCATTGACACAAATAGGTAGTAAAAAAAAATGGGGAAAAAACTTGCAGTTTTAAAACACAGCAGGGTACAAATTGTCCATAGTGAAAATATATAGGGAAAAATTGCAAAATAGACCGTTTTTGCTAATTATTTAGCAAAATAGACCGTTTTGCTAAATAATTAGCAAAATAGACCTCTTTTTGGCCAACAGGCCAAAAAGAGGTCTATTTTGCAAAACAGCTCAGAAAACATGCGGGACTAGTAGTCTCGTATGTTTTAATAACGGATTAGTGAAATTTTCTACTCAGAAAACATACGGGACTACTAGTCTCGTATGTTTTCTGAGTCACTAATCGGTGATTAGTTGGCTCTAAACATACGGGACTAGTAGTCCCGTATGTTTTCTGAGCCTTGTTTTTTAAAATCGACCTCTTTTTTTCAAAAGAGGTCTATTTTGCTAATTATTTTTCAAAGTGGTCTATTTCGCTATATATTTCATAAAAATTGTCTATTTTGCAAATTTTCCCAAATATATATTGGGAAAAAATTTTCCTTCTTATGACTGATTGGTATATAATGAAGAATTAAAGGTATAAAAAATTAGGTGCATGTTCAAAGAGACGCCAGAGAAATTACTCCCTCACTCGAAAATTTGAGATTGTCAACAGTCAACCTTGCAAAATACGAAGGCGGCCCAAAAAGACTCGTAGCTCATATGGTCTCCTCGTCCTTCGTCAACCTTGTAAAATACTGAAGGCAGCCAAAAAAGACTACTACCTCGTACGGTCTCCTCGCCCCCTGAGACTTGCAAGATAACAACTAAATTTTTAGCTGAATTTAATTTTCTTAAAATAATAACTCATGAATCCCTTTCAAGGTCTTAAAAATGTCAATAATTTTTTTTTTTTTTGTGAAGCCTGATGATATTCATTTGTTGATGTCGGCCGGGTCAGCGGGAATCCTGCAGCGTTCAGCTTCTGATGACACTAGCGAGACTTACATACATGTAATAATAGCTCATTTGTTTGCGTAATCACGGCTCGACCCTAAATTTGTACTGAGAAATGAAATACTTTTAGTTTTAGCCCTCGCTTTTATCCCAAAAAGGGGGGAAAGAACGAAGAAGGACAAAAAAATCTCCCAG